TACTGTTTTATCTATGGCATTCTAGTTTATAGCCCAGGATTAGTTTTGCTCTTTCATTTTCTTACTTAGTCAGTCAGCATTAGAAACAATATGGAGAGGCCTGAGTGTTATCTTACATATTGCTTTTATTGAAATGCATCTAGTACATCAATGGAATTTTGTACTCTGTTGTAACTGCTTTGTTTTTGGTATGTGTTAACATTCAGGTCATGCATAGTAAGTGATATCATAAGAAAACTTCATTTGATGAAAGATGGGGTTGAGGTTTTTTGCTAGTCACAGTCCATTCCTGGCTGCTGTTCTCCCAATGGTCATGTCAGCAGCATTCAGCAGAAGTTCTACTATAAATACTCAGTTTATCTTTACTGAGGGATATTCCTCAGGTGCATCCCACTGTTAATGGACTCTCCTCCACTTTTCCTCTAGTTAAGTTGGAAATTGATATGTTTTATATCTGTCTTCCAGTAGTGTGAACTATGTGAGCAAGGATTTTAATGTCATCCTGTTTATTTTCTCTATGTCTTGCAAAATTTAGAGAAATCTATGTATTCAGAAGATTGACCACTGTTTTCTATGTTCTTTTTCCAGCAATCATATTATTTACCTTAAAGCCTTCTCACGATTTTTGGGCATTTATCTGTCACTGCGATAAACAGTGCAGCGTTATGATGACACCTCCCCGCTGATTCTTGTTGAAAACTGCTTTCTTGAATAATTCCTCCTTGTCCAAGATGGACCTGCCTTTGTTCAGTTGTCCTCTGTGCCAGAACACCACCTTGTGGAAAAGGAAAGCAGAGCTTCATCTTGCTTGGCTCGGAGGATTGAAAGGACCTGAACCCCCAGATCCTTTTCAATTTTTTTTWATTTTTATTTTTTTATTCTTTCAGTTACCTTTGAGCAGCTCTGTGTAATATTTGCCAGTGCTGTTTCTGCCCATATGAATGACCTCCATGGAGTAAAAATCAGAAGGCTGAAAGAACCTCAGCACCTTTTGTAGAAGTAGTGAAGCTGTGACAGAGCTTTAAAAAGTGTGTTTTTTAAATTGGTTTACATTTATTGTTACATTAAGGAGATTATACTGCTTTAATTAAGAGTTACTAAGGTTTTCTATAATAAACTTGAATTTTCAGCTATTTATAGCTGAGGAAAAATGTTTCCATACAGAAATTTGGCATTCAATGTCTCAAGCTAAATGGCTTGGTTTCCCTTTTTCTATTTCTTTTAAAAATACTCTTTGGCTGCATTATGTTTTGAGGGAGGCAGTTTTTTTTGTGGTTTTATATGTTTTTTGTGCTCCCTTGGCAAGGCTTGATACATGGAAAAACAAATTTTCCAGGCTCTTAGTCTTTTATGATGACTGTTTCCTTTTTGATATTTAAAACATGGTGCTTTGATGATCATTAATTTTTAACAGAGACCCTGTACTATTCAATAAGCAGTCATCCCTAAGTATTTGCCATAACTATTTTTCATATATTGTTACATAAAAATACTTTATATAGTTCAATTTAGTAAATTTATTCTGAAACAAAATTGTATACCTGACATGTGTAGTAGCAATAATATTGGTAATTGTGTATTTTTGTAAAGTTCACCTTTTCTGATTATTTCACAATATAAAAACCATTTTTCCATTTGTATGTTTATTTCTATTTTCTAGTTATTATCTGTAGGCTATTTAATGCCATGCTTGAAGGTGTTGAAATTCTCTAAGTTGGTCTCATTGGTTCTGAAAATCATTCCTTTTGCCCAAGAGTGTGGTACATTTGAAATGCTCCAGTTAAAGCTTGGGGAAATCAGTTGTTCAATTCGTGAAGCCCAAGTCTTGTTTAAGGTCTGATGCCATCCAGATAGTAAACTGAGAGGTGTATAAGCTCTGCCTAAGTTCTTACAGACTTCCGTGTGTTCTGGGCATTTGAAGCTTGACTAGTGAGTGCAGATGGCATTGAGCCTGGCAGAATGTGGCTGGTGCTTCAGGTGATTTCTTGAGATGTTATTTAAGTAATGTCCAGATATTCTGCAAGTGTAGCAGAATACTTTCTGTGATTAGAAAACTTCCGAGAAAGTGGAGTCTCTTTTTTCTTCTCAACAGCATTGTCAAGTACATATTTCTCTCTTGGAAGAATGTTAACAGCTAGTTAGTGAGTATTCATTCATAGGACAGGTGAGATTCCTTTACTCCTTGGATTCATTTTCGGTCACAGAATAGAAAAATKCTAGGGTCACTTGAGCAGAAGAAGATACAAATACTCTCCAGTTTGTTTCTGAGTTTTATCCAGCAGCCATGGACTGTAAAATATATAAATAGTATACAGGGGCCTGAACCTAAGTATTCTACCTGTCTTYGACTTGCTTGTTATCTGAGCTTCAGCAATGCAGCACAAGCGAAATTCAGTTATGGTACGGAGAAGGATGCTCAGAACAGAATTTGTGAGATGAATAAGAAACTGGCTGGGGAAGAAAGAAGAAATAATATTGAAAGCTTATTTATTAGACTGAAAAAACATTGCTGGTGGAGTTCCTTCATGTTTCTTTTTAAACATTTTCCTTCTATAGCACTATTTCAATTTTCTTTTGAGATAATGTGTTTGTACTAAAATAAGGTAATGATATTAGTCCAATTTTTTTTCACCAGGGAGTATCAAAGTGCTGATAACAGGAAGACAGGAGACATTTTCAGTACAATATAGATGCAACACAGGAGAAACTGAGCGACATTGAAGATAGGAGCTATCAATGTATCATAAATAAAACTAGATGAAATACAATGCAAAGGAAGACTCTTCTGGACTCAGAGCCAACAAGTTTCCTCTGAGCTGTTAGTTCATCAGCTTGAGCAGAGTAAGGAGCTGTCTTTAATACTGCCTTGAGTTTCCAGTATGTGGGAATCATCCCATGTATGGTTCTCGCATCAGTGTTGTGTTCAAGAACAGTGAATTCAYGTTGGGGCTGACTAGTGGACAGGAAGGCTGTAGAGAAAATCAGGGGYTGAGAGGCCTGGACTATGGTTCAAAGAGATTGTATATCAGTAATATCACAGACAGAAAATAAAAACCAATGCTTGAGTACCTTCCTGCAATATCCCCACCAAACTTTTGGCCCCTATGAACTCCAAGGGCTGCAAACCTCACCTGAATGGCTGCRTGAACTGTTCTGTAAAGATAGGTACAGCTTGATTTCCACAAAAGTTTTGCCACAGTAGGAACTAAATAGGATTTACAAGATTTGGCCTAGAAATTGAAACTTTTTGCTCTCAAAGTTTTATGGACATTTTTCATGYTCTAACTTAAGCTTTGGTTCACATAATCTATTTTAGCTCCCTTTTTATTTTCCAGTCACAGCCTCAGTCATAGCACAGCTGTGGCATTTGTCTTGCAACAAGAAGAATCTGATAATCAGGAAATAACCCAGATTTATGCCTGCAGTGCTGAAGCAGTGCCATATTTGTGAAAATAACTTAAGAGGACCAATATGCAGCAGATGTGAAGGTTTTACCTTCACATTTAAGTAGGTTTATACTGTCAGCAAGTGTGGGCTTAGCAGGGCCTGACAGAGTTTCAACTTACCAGATGTTTCATGTGATCAAATAGATACTGTACAGCTGTTTCCCATTCTTTTTACCAGGTTCAGATAAATACACAGTAAATGGTCTGAAATATATTTATTGTATTTTGGCAAGTCCTGCAGAGAACAGCCCACAAGTGCCAAGAATGCAGGGAAAAACCAAGGGTGCTCATAGGAATGCTCATTTTCTGTTACTGAGGAAAAATTAGCAGTTGTTTGTCCTGATGATACTAGTGAGGGAGCAATAAMATACGGGGTTTTCATTTGGTTGTGGATGTGAGATTAGTGGCTGTATTTACGGAGTGCCTCTGTCGGGGGCAGCTCCCATGGGCAGGAGCTGTCCCCCCTGTGTCACCTTTCCAGTGGTGTTAAATTCCTGGAGTTTACCTGGARAGGTGGTGAGTTTAGTGGAGCAGCTGTCCTGCAGGTAGCTTGTGCTAATCCCAGCTCAGGCTTTCAACACGAGTGGAGGACTGGTTTGGCTTCTGTATTCAGTGCAATACAGAAAACAGGGTATCTCCAGAGCTCCTGGCAAGGCTGCCTGTGTCCCTTCTGTCCACTCTGGGCATGGACAGTGTGACCCAAATTAGCCATGGGGTGCGTTTTTAAGGGCATACAGCTTTTGGTGGTAAATCCGGCCAACTGCTCTGAACTGTTTGAGGACTTAAGGCCAGTTWACATCAACTGCCACACCTGTCAACTTGATTCAATAACAGAGCAGCTAAMTAATAAAAAAGGAAGTTTCATTTCCCTTCACCTGCTTTTCTGTTCTCATTTCTCCTTCCTCCTCCTCCAGTTCCCCATGCTCTACTTAGCCCTTTGACCTTACTGCTGCCTTCTTTCCCTCCTGTCCCTGTCAGCATCCTGCCTTTCCATAGCTGCTCTTACACCTGGAAAATTCTTTTCTACTAGAGGCTTTCCTTGTTCTCCTTTAAATCCTTTTTTTAAAACCTTCATCTTCAGTTGGAGAAGTAATTTTCATCTTTCATTAATAATCTCTTCAACATTTCTTGACTGCTATGTTCTTTTCAGATTTATAGCCAAGTCTTGTGAACATTTACAGAGAAGTACCTGTTAAGTTAAATTGCGATCATTTGGTTATAAGTTTGGAGGACTGGATTGTTCATTGGAAAGATTTTTGAAATGGAAATATTTCTCACTGTAAAACTCTACGTTCATTTATGATTCTATATGCATTTTTAATAAACTTTTGTGACCTCAAAGGAGCAGTGGAACATTCACTAACTTCTATTTTAACTTTTATTCCTTAGGGCAAGGTGTGGAATGTGTTCTCACAGATTTTTAAATGCCCTGCAAACTTAATGTTGACAATATGACTTTATACCCAGAATCATATGAAAGGAAGAGTGCAAGCTGTACATTTTGATCTTGGTGGCCTTATTTGTTTTATGTTTCAGTATTGATTTTTATTTCAGGAACTTCAAGCATCTGGACTGSCTGAGTACATAAAGATTGTAGAAGTTGGGCCAAGGGATGGATTACAAAATGAAAAGGTAACTTTTTTTTTTGTGTGTGCATGCTTTGACCTGGATGTTAGTGTTATTTTCGTTGTGTAGAACATGTACATCCTGCTAATTATGTTTCTTCCATTTTGTACTATTAAATATATTTATTTCTTTTCATATCTCTTTATATTAGAATAAAAGTGTATTCCTGTTTACCCAGCTTTTAAATCATGTAATTTTTCCTATATTTGGCTAACTAGCCTTTCTGTTACTTAACATTTCTTTTTAATGGAATTTGTCCTGCCAGTCTGTAATGACATAACTGGCAAACACTATGAAGTGCTGGTTATCTCTGAAACTTGTATCTCTGCTCCACGTGCTAATGTAGAAGGAATAGTAAAATGAGTTTTATCATGTTTCCTGCTWAAGAGACACAGGGGAAAATATTACTCTTTTGATCGTATTGTTTGCCTGAAGGGTGGCAGAGAAGCATGGAAGAAGATTGAAAGAGGTTATAAGGTACATGTGTTGAAACAGTCMTCTATTTCCACGAACAGGATAAGCTCACATATATAATTGTTACTGGTATCAAAGATGTTAGTAGTATTAGCACAGTTACTCTACCTCAGCTCTGGAACTTTTTCTCTCCCATTTTTCTGTGGTCAAACTGTTAATATTTTCTTTGTCATGTCTTGGTAGTTTGGTGTTTGGTTACTAACAAACARTGAGGCCAGATCTATAACCAGTTACACAGAAGTGCTTCCTTTTGTGAGGGACAGAAAATGGAATAGGATCTTATATACTGCCTAGTACCTTCCATGGACAATAGCTYCCTACTGTCAGGAAACAGTGGAGCTATGGTAAAATGTGTAAGTGTAGTTCACTATTAAAAAAAAAAAAAAGTATTGATTATATACAGGGAACAACTTCACTTACAGAAGTTTCATATGTATGAAATGCTTTGCTAAAGTTTGTCTCTATATCTATAGGTGATAGTCCCAACTGATAYAAAAATTGAGTTAATCAACCAGCTTTCCAAAACAGGCCTGCCTGCAATAGAAGTGACCAGTTTTGTTTCATCCAAATGGGTACCTCAGGTATGTAAAATCATTTCCATTCAATTAAAAATTTGCAATTTAAAAGCCATTCCACTTATTTAACATTCAATTGTAACTAAAGATGACACATCATTAATATAATTTAATATTGTTCCTACTTCTTTTCTACTCTTCTAAAACTAGTGGTCATTGATTTAAAAAAGAAAAATAGCATAGWTATTTTTTTTCCCTAAATGAAATATGATTTTCCACATTTGGAAATGTGTTTGGAAGATCTAAATTTGGGACTTCTGTATATGTGGTATGCTTAGCCATATTACTTATTTTTGAGTTCTAGTACCCTATCAGCAACTACACTTAAGCTTGATTAATCATAATTTTCTCATTATTTTTCCAAAATTTGTTTTTGGAAAACAAATTCTACATTTTGGTAGAATTCAGCAGAAAATCTAGGCTTTCTGGAATCAGCAGCAAAACTGCATTGGCATTAGAATGTCACGTTTTCATTTGAGATTTAACCCTGCAAATTCATGCTTAGTCATAAAGTTTACTATTTAGTTTCTGTTTGTGCAAGTTAATTATTTTGTGCAAGTAAGGACTTGTAAGTAAGTAAGTAAGTAAGTACTTGTCTATATAATTTAAAATACTTTTCAAGAAATTACACACTTGTTTGCACAGAAGCATATGAATATATTTGGTAAGTAGCATACAAGTTGTTATTTAAAAATGAAAGCAAGAAGTTAATTTATTTGAGAAAATACTTCACTTTTAACAATGTCTACTGCATATTACACATCTGACAAAATGTAGCTAAAGTTTGTCCATTTTAAACTGAGAATACATCCTTGGCCTGGATTGTTCTAGGCTTTTCTTTGAGAAAAACCTACTGTGGTCATGTAGCAATAAATGCTTATTTGTGGGTTAACGAAGCAAACTGTTAAACACTGTGCGGAACTCCTTGGGTTTATTTCAGTGTTTCTCAGGGTTACCAGGGAAGAGTCTAAAAGAAGGATAATAGGAAAGGGGAAGAGAAGAATTTCTTGTCATCAATGCAGGGGCAATGATATTGTGTCTTTTTAAAAGGGAACAGGTTAAGTTTTTCCAAGTGCCATCACACTTTGTCAGTTACTGCAACAGAGAATAATGTAGTTTTTATAATGTTAGAAGAAATAGTCTAAAGCAAAGGTGTATTTATTCATTTCTTGTTTAATTATTTCCTTTTCCTGTGAGCCATTAGGAGTACCAGGTTTAGTACATTTTTGTCAGTTTAGAAAAAAACGAATAATTCCTTCTTATCTTAAATTCATGTCTGAATACTTTGTTTTAATGACTTAATTTCTTTTAAAATGTTTTTTTATTTAAAAGATAAGATTGTGTTGCTTTGATAGGGTGTGCAGTCTTGACTTTGTCTTTTCTTTGCTCTTTCATTTTTTTATAGGTCATGGGAATAGAATTTACAGTTATGTTTAGATCACTCATTCATTTATTTCTATTTGTAGTATTTTAAATTTTTTATGGTTTCCCATCCACTGTTGTTTTTGGCAGAGATTTTTTTACTGAAAAATCTAAAAGAGAAAGTTCCATAGTAGCGAGGTGCCATATAAAACAGGATCCCACACCTATAACTTAAACAGCCAAAAATTATAAATACCTACTATTAGGAAGCATATTTTTAAAGAAATTGGGAAAAGAAATACTTTATTACAATTTAAAATCTTATAGCATGCAATATGTGCAAAGRTGGGATTTTACTTACAGGAAAAATAGCAATGGGACAAATTTAATACATATAATATTATTTGGATTTGGCAGGTTATACTGGTTGAAAAAGTGTCATTTTGGTTTTCCAGTAAATTTTAAGCCAGGCTATAATTGTGGAGCATGAATTAAGTTCCAGCATTTGCCATTTAATTAATCATTGGGTTTCAGATATTCTTAYTTGCCCTGAGAAATATAGCTACTACTTATATTAAACTAAGGAATGAAAAAGCACTCTTAAAAAATAAAGGGATTTTTTGTGAGGTTATCAGACCAATTTCATTCACATAGAAGCAAGCAGAAAAAGTTTCTTTGTGCTATCTCTTATTTCCCAATAAGAAATAGTGTCTGGCTGTAAAATACTTTTTGTACCATATATCCACGTATAGAATACATGCTGGGCTTTCATTTGAAGAGGAATACATGCATTTTTCTAGTATTTTWAATCCATTCATTTTCATAGAAGGAAGCCAGTGACAGGAAGATTCCAGGTTGCCAGTGATGTCAGTTAAAAATGTGGTATAATTTAATACCATGTGTTTAGAATTGTGATACTGCATAGCTACCAATAAGGTATCTGCTGAAAGTAAGAAGTAGTGAAAGCTCTGTAGTTCATATACCTTCTCAGATGGTGCTTCTCAAATGACTTTTCACCAGTGTGGAAGAAAACAGAAATCCAATTTAATATTGTTTGCTTGCGAGATTTGCTTTTATGAGAGCTCATTTTAAAAGCATTTAAAATGCTATTCTATTTTTAAAACTACGACTCTTTAAAACATTAAATAGGAGGGATATGTTTTATTAACTGTATTGTTTTCAGGCATGCATACCATTGAAAAATAGTTGTTTTCAACYCACTTCTTTTAAGAAAATGTGATTGTCTAAATAATCTCTTTTTATTAAATGAGGAGGTCTTTCATTCATTGTCTTGATTAGTATAGAGATTATATTTAGTCTTGAATATGTGAGAAAAATGTAAGGATGTCCCAAAAAAGGAAGATTTTATTTTGCGAAGGGGGACTAAGGAAAGAAGTGTTCTGATCTTTGCTATAATAAAGTATTTTCTTCTTTAGAAAGAAACTTCTAAATATATTAAAAGGTTATGCTATGCAGATAACTGGATTTTGCTATACTTTTAAGAACAGATGTGTTTAGTCTTTTCAAATGTGCTGATTACAGTATTGAGTAATTCAAGTTCAGTTATGCATAACATTGTGATGTTTAACAGAGTTCTGAAGTTTTCAAGATTTGTATGTGTTTTAAATCTCAGTTGTTCTGTTAATTCCACTTACTGAGTCCAGTGAATCAAAATTAAAGTGGCTATAAGACTTCATGAACAGCATGATCATAAGTCTGTCAATTTATAATGCAAATTCTATTTTTACAGATTCACAAAAAGGAACACTGTAGAAATCTTAGCCCCAGTTCTGTATTCATGTAGATCTAAAAAAATTGCAACTCAAAGACTCAAATGTTAACAAACTAAAAAAGGAATATTTGTACAGAATCAGTTTTACTCCTTTGTTGTTTTAATTTTTGTATGAATTGTAAAAGTAATGAAGGCAAAATCACAGTCTAAGCCAATTTCTGTTTAGTTGTATAAAATCAGAAAATGAGTGCTGATCAATACAAATTATTGATYTGTTTTAGATGGCAGATCACAAAGAAGTAATGATGGGCATCGAGCGGCATCCTGGAGTCCAGTATCCTGTTCTCACTCCTAATCTTCAAGGTTTTAATTCTGCTGTAAGTGCCTTCATAGATGTTGTCCACATTTACCTCTTTYGTGTTTCAGACACTTGCAGTTCAATATCAGAAAGTAGCTGTTTAATGTTAGAAATAAGCTATAGCTTTTTTCATTGAAAACTCTAAATTTTTTTTGTGAAAAAGAGGGGAAACTCACAGAGTGATATTAAGCTCTATGTATTCATATTTTGATGGAGGCATTGATGAGGAACTTTTTAAATTCCTTTAAATGAAGCTTCTTTATGAAAGGGTAAGACAATTCTTTAACTTGTTGGCCCAAGAAAAGTGTTGTATTGCAAASTACAAAAGAAGGATAAGGAAAAACTCATTTAAATAAAAAAGCTTTATAGCAATTCTGCTTTTCATTCTGGTAGAGTTTGAAAGTTTAAATAATTTTAGTTCTTCCATAATAAATAGTCAAAATTATAGACTCAAAGTGCTTCAAAGTGTGAAAATAGAGTGGTTCAATCTTCTTAAAATATACACATTCATAGTCAAATCTTTACACTTTCTTGGTTTTTGAAAATTTTTAATGCTTCCATGCTTTTTGATATAGGATCAGCTGYATTTGGAAAGCATACTGCTTGGTGGACATTTGTGGTGTAGTCTGTCATTCACTTCCTGTACTGAAATATCTGTTAAAACAGAACCCTGTGCTTAGTTGACTTAACTGGCAGCAGTCAGATTATAGTGCCACAACTTTGTCTCAATGGTCGCTTGAATGAGTTGAATTAATTATGCTATATCTCAACACTGTATTTAGTGATATAATGAAAGGAAAACAGTGAAAAAATAGTTGTAGATGATTCCTGCGTTCTTCCTTGCTGATATTTTTTTCCCTCTGAAAGAATATTTGTCCCTGTAAAGGTTGCTGAAGCCAAGACACTATCTTGCAGAGACAGAGAGTAAAGGGAAAAGCTCCATACTTCTTCATTGAGCAAGAGTATTATTCTGACTGGAGAATGAGAGTTAATTAACTATTCTCCTAAGCTTAAATGTTTTCTTCTCCTCTCATTTGGCTTTTACCCTTCTAGTTTGTCTCATGTTAGTTGATTTACTGAGGTCCTGAGGTCCTGAGTACAAGCTCAGGCTAATTKTTCCTTCGATGAAGTCACCACATTTACACATTTTCTAGACTGGTGTTTGCTCTGAGATCTCTCAGCAGACTCTCACATACACATTTTCCATATTATCCATATCGACTATGACACCAAGACCAATAGTGCCCATGATTCTAGAGTTGGCTCTGTGAAGGAAATCCCTGTTGTTTATTGTTGCTGCTCTAGGCACCTGCACACAGGAAGCTTTCCCAAGCATGAGAATTCCTGAATTCCTTCCTGGTATTCACAAGGARCAGATACTGCATGAGTTGTTATATGATTTTTCCTTTTCTGGAAAGATGAATATAAGAATCAATCACTGCAGTTTGTATAGTTAGTTCATGTGATTTCCTAAATCTTACTGCCTTTATCATTCATCACTTTAAAAATGTGTTTAACAAATTGCTGAGAAAAGGAAGAAAATATGCCCTAATGAATGCTCTTAAAATTTGATTCAATCTGTCTGTATGCAATGGCTTAAAAAAATGGAATTAAAGTTAGATTTTAGATATGGATGATATAGTTAAGGTACTTTAAAACTTTAGAATCTTGTATGGAATTAAATGTTTTATCTAATATTTTAATATAATCATCTTATTCTATTTTCTTGAAATGTATTTTTTAGATTGCAGCAGGAGCTACAGAAGTCTCAGTATTTGGTGCAGCATCTGAATCTTTTACCAAAATGAATATTAATTGTTCMATTGAGGAAAGTTTAGAAAAGTTTGAAGAAGTCACTAAATCTGCAAGGAATATGAATATTCCAGTGCGTGGGTAAATATAAAGATTCTCAAGTAATACAGAATTATCAGAGTCATTGTTAACAGGTTTTGTTTTACTATCAATAGAAAAATATATTGCCAAAATTTTACATTGTAGATAAATTGTAATAATAGTCTTTACTGTGACTTTTGTTTCTAAGATTGAATATATTTAGTTATTTCTGCATTTTTAACTACTGACAGTGACTATTTTGCTGTGGTAATTGAAAAAAGAAARCTGTGTTTATAAAATAACTATTTAATTATGTAAATTTATTTTTATCATCGCAGATGACTTTTGTGCTGTTGACAATTCGTAACATTGCTGGCACCTTAGAAAACACACTAAAAACTTTTATTTTATTGTAGAATTCACATTATATCACTTCATACATTGCAGCATCAAGGTATAAAAGTGAGAAAACAAATTTACTCCTAATAAAAAAATTAGTCAGTATATAAGTGCATGAAACTCTAGAATTGAACAGTATTTATTTTTTAACTTAAAATTATTCTGAATGGTACTCGCTCTTAAACAGTATTGGTTTTCATTTCCATTTTCTTTTTAAGAAAAAAAGAAGAACTACTTACCTAAGATTATTTGTGAAGGTCCTTGTGAATGCAGAAGGGCTCACATAGATTCAAGGAAAAACTCAACAGTGAGATTTCTTGAGGATTACTAGTAATGTAAACTACATCATGCTCAGAGAATACCTRAATTGAAATTAGGTAGAGGTAGATACCTCCAAAACTAAGTACTTGAAAACCTATCTGAGAATAAATAGTRGGTTCTCTTTCCTCCAGAAACAGTGATGAGATAATGCTACTGCACACTTTTTTCCACAGGAGCATGTGGTTGTTTGGGCATTTGCCTTGAGAARGATAATTCTGACTTCTAGTTATACCTCTGCCCCAGATGATCACAGAACAGCATTATGGTTTAGGGTGAGAGAGAACTCTGGAGACCATCTTGTCCAACCCAAGGATTTGTAGGTGATGTTTGACAAAAATCTTAGTCTGAGCCAGCAGTGTGTGCTTGTAGTCCTGAAAGCCAATTGTATCCTGGGCTGCATCAGAAGCAGCTTGGCCAGGAGGGTGAAGGAGGGAATCCTGCCCCACTGCTCTGGTGAGSTGCCACCTGGARTGCTACATAAAGTTCWGGTGTCCCCAGCATAAGAAGGACATGGAACTGCTGGAGCAAGTCCAGTGGAGGAGGGACTGGAGCACCTCACATACAGCATCAAGCTGAGAAAGTTGAGGCTGYTTAGCCTGGAGAAGAGAAGGTTTTGTGGAGACCTCATAGCAGCCTTCCAGTATCTGAAGGGGGCTACAAGGGAACACAGACAGGGACTCTGTCAGGAACTGTAGTGATAGGGCAAGGGGGAAAAGCTTCCAAGATGAAAGAGAGTAGGTTTAGATTAGATACTAGGAAGAAATTATTTTCTGTGAGGATAGTGAGGCACTGGCACAGGTTGCCCAGAGAAGTTGTAGATGCTCCACTCCTGGAGGTGTTCAAGGGTGGATTGGATGGACCTCTGAGCAACCTGGTATAGTGGAAGGACACATCTCTGCCCATTGCAGGGGTGTTGGAACTAGATGATCTTTAAGGTCCCTTTCAACCCAAACCATTCKGYGCTTTTATGATTTTCACACACACACGRCCAACCCAGGATAGCTCATCAGTGCTTGGGGTCTTTTTCCCTAGCCTGGATATGTTTCAAATGGAAAATCACCAAATAGAGAAGTAAGGATGTTCACTGTGTTAAGAAATAGTAACTTGTGCCAGAGTTCTAATACTTTTCCCTGGTGCTAATCTGCCAGGTAGGGTCAGGATTTGCCTCCCTAAGCAGCTTCTCTTATAAGAGGTCTGTTATTTAAAAGCTCTTGGCYGCCACTGTTTGTCACATTTTTTCTGAAGCTAAATTCTGATCTGAGAACATAACTAGCAATTTGACTTCTCCAGGAGGATTCAGCCCAGGGATGCCTGAATTTTAGGTCCCAGACAGGTGTTGTTAAGGAAATGGGCAGAYAATTCAGGTGAAAACAGCTTGTGTRTAGCAGCAAACCTAAGCCRCTTGTGAACGTTTTTACACTAAACTTCTGTTTTCTGGCTTTTTCAGATGTCTAGGCATGTCAGGAGATATTTTCTGTTTTTTAATCCTGTATTTAACTAATAAAATTCAACCAAATGGTTCAATATAGACAGCCAACCATCCAGGAAATCCTCAAAGCCTGTGCATTGTAGAAATTTTTGCATAATTATGGACGTCAAAAAARGGACTTTGCAATTTGTCCATAAGATGCAAATTGCAGGTGAAGAAGCCCCTGTGGTGTACTGTAGATTGATTTTCCGCTTAAAATACTACCTTGTCTTCTGTGGTTTTCACACGTTTAAAAAAGTGGCAACCTAGTGGATTTTTTTCCCCCACAGATTATACATATGTTGCATTTGTAACGTGCCAGAAGAAATATTCTAGCACTGATACATTGATGTGATGGAMGTACCTGTTCCCATTACAGGATTCTACGACATTCCCAAACATTAWTTTTTTACTGTCTGACAAACCATGTGGCTTTTTTTTTTTTCACACAGAAAAAAAAGAGAAAAGTAGGAGGCAGGAAAAGGTAAAACAAGAATAGCTCATGAAAAGAAATTAAAGKAACAATAAAAAGAGTGAAAACAAAGCAAAGAGATAAAAGGGAGGAATATCAAGAACCAGATAGTGAAGCAAACAGAAAAACAGTAGAGAAGCGGAAGGAGAACTAAGGCAAATACAGTAGTATTATATTTTGAAAGTGCTTACTTTGTGTATCCAGTGCAGATACTTGTGATTTCACTTCAAWGTGCAAACATAAGACAAACATCATACAGTATATGCAGCATGATTTTATTGAATCTGTCATGCCAGGTGCAGGATATTACAGAACACTTTGACAGAGAACTGCTTCATATCAGAAATACTAGAGTGAGCAGATTCAAAGTTGGGAATAAAATTATGTAAGTGCACTTCACCTATAGCTTTCTTCCTTAGGTTTACAGGTCTAAAAAAAGTGAATAATTCAGAATTAAAAAGCCATTAAGAGAACAATYCAATTTAGTGGGTTATAACCAAGAATCCAAACACAGTATGTATATTGAAGAGAACCTACATTTATGTGAATCTTACATATATCTTCTTCACATGATATTATCTTGAGAATTAATTTATCCAGTGAAAATTAAGAGGCTGAAGCACAGGAGATAAGATGATGGACTAATGTTAAACTTCARCAAATCAAAAAATTTAGAAGAGAAYTGCTGATATTTGTTTTTAATCACTCTTTTAGACATTGTCTAATTTAAAGAACCATAGCCAAAACCTGCAGCCTTTCCTCAAGCTAGCTCCCAAGACTACAGATTTTGGCTTCTAATGTAAATTTTGTACGCTAAATATTTTGCTAGAATTACTAGGRCAATAAAAATAATCATATGCATAAATTGTGTTTGTGTTCATTTCAATACAGAGATTGTTTCCTTTCTAAAGCACTATTATTATTTAAAGTGTTGTTTATTTGCAGGAAATGGATAATTTAGTGCCTTGCCCTAACTCCTGATTTGAGCAGTTGAAAAATAGTTCCAAAAATAATTTTAAGGGATAAAATTTTATTTCCTATTTTTACTGGCAATTTACCATTTATGTAGTGAGCATAAATCATTGGCAATCCTTGAATCTTATGAAAAATGCACTCAAACAGTTGAAACTAAACTTTAAGCTTTTGCATGTCTTACTGTTACTACAGCTGCACTAACTTTGACTCGATCATCATCCAGAAAATTTATGTTGTCATCTGTCACATATAAAATCTGTATCGCAGTCCACAGTCTCTTAATGTTTACTAAATTATTTCAAATGTTTATGAAGAATTGAAATGTTGCATATGGTCTTAGAAGTTATTAGCATTATAAAGAGGTGAGGTTTTGTTGTGGGTTGGGTTTGTTTTGTTTGTTTGGTTTTTTTTTTTCTAATGATACATGCATAAAAATTTTACAATAACATCTGGGACACACTCTGTGAAGACACTGAGGCAAACCAGTTATGAACTGTGTGGTCAGCTAATTACTGCTATGGGTGTTTTGCATGTAAAGTGACACAAAATAGTGCTGGTTTTCAGTTTGCACATTTTCAATTTGCGTAATTCAAATACTATTAAAAATATCACAACCTATTCAGTGATGAAAAATTAAGTCTAACATCCAGGATTGATAAAAAATGGTGGGAAATGGTAATTGGAAGTAGTCACTTGGATTGTCCTATAAGTTAAATGCATCATTAATGTACATGTGAAGGAAATGTTAAGTAAATTCTTATTAAGCTGGTTTCCTCCAAGTTGGTGTATTCCATTWAGATGGATTCTTCTAAGTTAATGTGTTCCAAAATTTAAAAAGACTSAGGAATGAATTGCAGTTAGTACAATAGAACATTAAAGGAGGTAAGGACTGGGATTTTTCCCTTTTCCACAAATAATACTTTGTGTCTTCTGACAAGGACATAAAATCAGACATTCAGTTCTGTATAGGACTGCCTTATTCCTAATAAAAAATGAACACGGGATACAAGCCTCAGAGGTTGTAATTTTGTTCCTCTACTGAAAAATATTTCTCCATGGTCAGCAATTAAAAGCTGTAATTATGTCCCAGACCTGAAAAATTTTCATGTGAATAGCCCTTTTAAGGCCATTTGTGCAAATGTGAATGTGTATGCAAATGTTTAGAGGTTCAGTGTTAGAAAAACAGATGCAAATGATTGCTTTAGAGGACCTCTAGAAGCATTTCGTTACAAAGCTGCTGCTTCATAAATTAAAGCACGTGTAATCACACACTAATTCTGAACTGTACTATGTAATTTCTTTATTTATGTCCTATGCCTTTTAATACTGAGTTGTATTAAATTAATACTGAGTTGTATGGTGCAGTTCACGGTACATAAAATCATTTTGAAAGCATGTTTCAATATTTGGCTTACATCTGTGTTT